TATGGACCCTCTATCTACCATAAAAATTTCGAATCGAAAATCCGGTCCTGGACCGAGATAGTACTCAGCTCCTTGGACAGTAAATATTTTTTTACCGCGAAAGTTTCGTTTGTCCCTCAATCTCGAGGGGTGGGTTGAGTAGTACTATCAACCCTCTATCTACCATAAAAATTTCAAATCGAAAATCCGGTCCTGGGCCGAGATAGTACTCAGCTCCTTGGACAGTAAATAATTTTTTACCGCGAAAGTTTCGTTTGTCCCTCAATCTCGAGGAGTGGGTTGAGTAGTATTATCAACCCTCTATCTACCATGAAAATTTCAAATCGAAAATCCGGTCCTGGACCGAGATAGTACTCAGCTCCTTGGACAGTAAATAATTTTTTACCGCGAAAGTTTCGTTTGTCCCTCAATCTCGAGAGGTGGGTTGAGTAGCACTATGGACCCTCTATCTACCATAAAAATTTCGAATCGAAAATCCGGTCCTGGACCGAGATAGTACTCAGCTCCTTGGACAGTAAATAATTTTTTACCGCGAAAGTTTCGTTTGTCCCTCAATCTCGAGGGGTGGGTTGAGTAGTACTATCAACCCTCTATCTACCATAAAAATTTCAAATCGAAAATCCGGTCCTGGACCGAGATAGTACTCAGCTCCTTGGACAGCAAATAATTTTTTACCGCGAAAGTTCCGTTTGTCCCTCAATCTCGAGGGGTGGGTTGAGTAGCACTATGGACCCTCTATCTACCATAAAAATTTCGAATCGAAAATCCGGTCCTGGACCGAGATAGTACTCAGCTCCTTGGACAGTAAATAATTTTTTACCGCGAAAGTTTCGTTTGTCCCTCAATCTCGAGGGGTGGGTTGAGTAGTACTATCAACCCTCTATCTACCATAAAAATTTCAAATCGAAAATCCGGTCCTGGACCGAGATAGTACTCAGCTCCTTGGACAGTAAATAATTTTTTACCGCGAAAGTTTCGTTTGTCCCTCAATCTCGAGGGGTGGATTGAGTAGTATTATCAACCCTCTATCTACCATGAAAATTTCAAATCGAAAATCCGGTCCTGGACCGAGATAGTACTCAGCTCCTTGGACAGTAAATAATTTTTTACCGCGAAAGTTTCGTTTGTCCCTCAATCTCGAGGGGTGGGTTGAGTAGTACTATCAACCCTCTATCTACCATAAAAATTTCAAATCGAAAATCCGGTCCTGGACCGAGATAGTACTCAGCTCCTTGGACAGTAAATAATTTTTTACCGCGAAAGTTTCGTTTGTCCCTCAATCTCGAGGGGTGGGTTGAGTAGCACTATGGACCCTCTATCTACCATAAAAATTTCGAATCGAAAATCCGGTCCTGGACCGAGATAGTACTCAGCTCCTTGGACAGTAAATAATTTTTTACCGCGAAAGTTTCGTTTGTCCCTCAATCTCGAGGGGTGGGTTGAGTAGTACTATCAACCCTCTATCTACCATAAAAATTTCAAATCGAAAATCCGGTCCTGGACCGAGATAGTACTCAGCTCCTTGGACAGTAAATAATTTTTTACCGCGAAAGTTTCGTTTGTCCCTCAATCTCGAGGGGTGGGTTGAGTAGTACTATCAACCCTCTATCTACCATAAAAATTTCAAATCGAAAATCCGGTCCTGGACCGAGATAGTACTCAGCTCCTTGGACACTAAATAATTTTTTACCGCGAAAGTTTCGTTTGTCCCTCAATCTCGAGGGGTGGGTTGAGTAGCACTATGGACCCTCTATCTACCATAAAAATTTCGAATCGAAAATCCGGTCCTGGACCGAGATAGTACTCAGCTCCTTGGACAGTAAATAATTTTTTACCGCGAAAGTTTCGTTTGTCCCTCAATCTCGAGGGGTGGGTTGAGTAGTACTATCAACCCTCTATCTACCATAAAAATTTCAAAGCGAAAATCCGGTCCTGGACCGAGATAGTACTCAGCTCCTTGGACAGTAAATAATTTTTTACCGCGAAAGTTTCGTTTGTCCCTCAATCTCGAGGGGTGGGTTGAGTAGCACTATGGACCCTCTATCTACCATAAAAATTTCGAATCGAAAATCCGGTCCTGGACCGAGATAGTACTCAGCTCCTTGGACAGTAAATAATTTTTTACCGCGAAAGTTTCGTTTGTCCCTCAATCTCGAGGGGTGGGTTGAGTAGTACTATCAACCCTCTATCTACCATAAAAATTTCAAATCGAAAATCCGGTCCTGGACCGAGATAGTACTCAGCTCCTTGGACAGCAAATAATTTTTTACCGCGAAAGTTCCGTTTGTCCCTCAATCTCGAGGGGTGGGTTGAGTAGCACTATGGACCCTCTATCTACCATAAAAATTTCGAATCGAAAATCCGGTCCTGGACCGAGATAGTACTCAGCTCCTTGGACAGTAAATAATTTTTTACCGCGAAAGTTTCGTTTGTCCCTCAATCTCGAGGGGTGGGTTGAGTAGTACTATCAACCCTCTATCTACCATAAAAATTTCAAATCGAAAATCCGGTCCTGGACCGAGATAGTACTCAGCTCCTTGGACACTAAATAATTTTTTACCGCGAAAGTTTCGTTTGTCCCTCAATCTCGAGGGGTGGGTTGAGTAGCACTATGGACCCTCTATCTACCATAAAAATTTCGAATCGAAAATCCGGTCCTGGACCGAGATAGTACTCAGCTCCTTGGACAGTAAATAATTTTTTACCGCGAAAGTTTCGTTTGTCCCTCAATCTCGAGGGGTGGGTTGAGTAGTACTATCAACCCTCTATCTACCATAAAAATTTCAAAGCGAAAATCCGGTCCTGGACCGAGATAGTACTCAGCTCCTTGGACAGTAAATAATTTTTTACCGCGAAAGTTTCGTTTGTCCCTCAATCTCGAGGGGTGGGTTGAGTAGCACTATGGACCCTCTATCTACCATAAAAATTTCGAATCGAAAATCCGGTCCTGGACCGAGATAGTACTCAGCTCCTTGGACAGTAAATAATTTTTTACCGCGAAAGTTTCGTTTGTCCCTCAATCTCGAGGGGTGGGTTGAGTAGTACTATCAACCCTCTATCTACCATAAAAATTTCAAATCGAAAATCCGGTCCTGGACCGAGATAGTACTCAGCTCCTTGGACAGCAAATAATTTTTTACCGCGAAAGTTCCGTTTGTCCCTCAATCTCGAGGGGTGGGTTGAGTAGCACTATGGACCCTCTATCTACCATAAAAATTTCGAATCGAAAATCCGGTCCTGGACCGAGATAGTACTCAGCTCCTTGGACAGTAAATAATTTTTTACCGCGAAAGTTTCGTTTGTCCCTCAATCTCGAGGGGTGGGTTGAGTAGTACTATCAACCCTCTATCTACCATAAAAATTTCAAATCGAAAATCCGGTCCTGGACCGAGATAGTACTCAGCTCCTTGGACAGTAAATAATTTTTTACCGCGAAAGTTTCGTTTGTCCCTCAATCTCGAGGGGTGGATTGAGTAGTATTATCAACCCTCTATCTACCATGAAAATTTCAAATCGAAAATCCGGTCCTGGACCGAGATAGTACTCAGCTCCTTGGACAGTAAATAATTTTTTACCGCGAAAGTTTCGTTTGTCCCTCAATCTCGAGGGGTGGGTTGAGTAGTACTATCAACCCTCTATCTACCATAAAAATTTCAAATCGAAAATCCGGTCCTGGACCGAGATAGTACTCAGCTCCTTGGACAGTAAATAATTTTTTACCGCGAAAGTTTCGTTTGTCCCTCAATCTCGAGGGGTGGGTTGAGTAGCACTATGGACCCTCTATCTACCATAAAAATTTCGAATCGAAAATCCGGTCCTGGACCGAGATAGTACTCAGCTCCTTGGACAGTAAATAATTTTTTACCGCGAAAGTTTTGTTTGTCCCTCAATCTCGTGAGGTGGGTTGAGTTGAGTAGTACTATCAACCCTCTATCCACCATGAAAATTTCAAATCGAAAATCCGGTCCTGGACCGAGATAGTACATTTCTACATTACACACACACAACCCTGCCTTTCTTGATTTAAATGGTGATTCTCACCTAATTCAATATTATTTTGATTGTGTGGTTTGCTTTTGGTTGAAAAAGAATTTAGTTATATTCTGTTTTAAATTATTTGAAAAATATATTCAGTTTTTAAAAAATGGATCGATGAAATTGAGAGAGTCCAAAAAAAGTTTCTGCGTGATGTAGGATATCGACTAAATATTCCAAGAGATGAACTTCAATATAGTGACATATTGGCTCTCTTGGAAATATCGTCACTGGAAAAAAGAAGATTGTATTTTGATCTATGCACATTGTTCAGGGTTTTGAACGGTTTAATTGTTTCACCGGCATTATTGCAACTAATTAATTTTAAGGTACCAACAAGACAAACTCGACAAAATATAACCTTTGGTGTATCCTCCCATGTAACAAATTATGGTTTTTATTCACCTATATCTAGAATATGCAGAGAAGCAAATAGGCTTCCACCTACTGTTGATTTTTTTAACTCCTCTTTCAATAAGTTTAAGATAGACATTAAGAATTACTTAAGTTTAATGTAAATGAATGTTATTGTAAATGGTCTTTGATCGTTAATAAATTATTATTATTATTATTATTATTATTATTATTATTATTATTTATTTTAATTAAGTGATAAAAGTTGCGGGCCGCAAGGAGCTGGCTTCACACTTTCGACTACGTTCGCGGATTCATATTTGCGGCAAGGAGCTGGCTACAAGGAGCTAGCATCACACACGTGGGTTAGCATTGGCAATTTGCGGCGACTCTAACTCTGAGTCACCCTGTATAATTGATTTGCATAATACCTATAACAGACTTAGCCGAGGACTTAGCTTAAGCACCAGCCGATACGTTTGCCCCCAGGGGCCGGCATATCTAAGTTGCCACTGGCCTCAGAACTAGGTAGGTATATAATTAAAATATTAAATACATTTTTGTTCTGGTCTGAGTTTTGGCCTAATCTAAAACAAATATAAATGTTTGACCTTGATCTCCTATTCCTAAAAACTGGGTATCAAGCACGATAGGTACAAAGGGTGGTTTACATTCACTACACCACAGCAAAATTAGAATTTGTAGATTAGGGGCTCCCGAAATAGCTTTCTTCTCACCAGCAATATCCATTTGAAATGCTGCAATTTGTTTGTTTATATGCTGGAACCCTCTTGAATGCCGCACTAATACTGGTGTTAACGTTACCATAAAATAAACTGAAATATTCACAACAGAAAATTAGAATTGGACACAAGTAAATAAACAAATTATTTATAATAACTCCACTGTCTCCACTATGGGCTGTGCCACTATCCATAAAACAAAAATAAACAAAAACAAATTAGGCAATCCAATTGAACTTTCAAAAGGAAAAATTCAATATGGCGTGGCGGCTAGCAAGTTTGTTTGGAATATTTATTTTCATGCATATTTGGATCATTTTGTTTCGAGTTTTGCTCCTAGTTGCATTCCTTTCACACCTATGAGGAGCTCCGGAACAGCTCCGGGGCTTCACGCGCTTATTCCTTTCGATAAGTGTTTGTTCGTTTGTTGCACCACGCATCTGTTCCCTGCAAATCGGGGGCGACTGAACACCGAAGCGAGTAGCTCGAGACTGCGTTCAAAAACGGCTAAAGCCAAGCCAAAATTGGCATATGCGTTCAAGTTCGGCTCCAGCTTGCCAAAAACGTTGGCTTTACACGTTCAGAATCGGCCGCGGTAAAGTAACTTTTGGAGGTGCTTTTAACTGAGTCTAGAAATGGTTATACGAATTTTGATTGGATTAGACCAAATTCAATATGGCGTGGCGGCCAGCAAGTTAGTTTTGAATATGTGTTTTCATGCATATTTCAATTATTTTGCTTCGAGTTTTGCTTGCAGCTTTGATTTTGATTATTCAATAAAATATTTGTAGGTACGTAAACTATTGAGTTGGGCAGAAACTAGATATTTTTTTGTGTTTTTTCGTCCATGTGTGGACGCCACGCCATCTTGAATGTGACGTGGTTTGGATTGCCTAATTGAGAAACGGTATTTGGCGTTCCAGCAAATTCACACCAGAGCCGCTTTCCAGTATGGGAGTGTGAAGCCCGGGGCTGCGTTCAAAAACGGCTAAAGCCGAGCCAAAATTGGCATATTGCGTTCAAGTTCGGCTCCAGCGTGCCAAAAACGGTTAGCTTTACACGTTCCAAATCGGCCGCGGTAAAGTAACTTTTGGAGGCTCTTTCAACTGAGTCTAGAAATGGTTATACGAATTTTGATTGGATGAGACCAAATTCAATATGGCGTGGCGGCCAGGTAAGTTAGTTTTGAATATGGGTTTTCATGCATATTTCAATTATTTTGTTTGTTTGCAGCTTCGATTTTGATTATTCAATAAAATATTTGTTAACTAAGTACGTTAACTATTAAGTCGGGCAGAAACTAGATATTTTTTGTGTTTTTTGGTCCATGTATGTTCGCCACGCCATATTGAATGTCACGTGGTTTGGATTGCATATGGAGAAACGATATTTGGCGTTCCAGCAAATTCACACCAGATTTGGCATCGCCGGTAGAAGGGGAATAGTAGGTTTTGGCATTAGCATTGCCGTCTTTGAACGCACTCCGGAGCTACTCGGGGCGTGGAGCCCCCGAGCTGTACGTACGCGTCAACCTATCAGCTGTCACATCTGTGGGTGGCTATTTATCTATTTATTTCTTGTTATATCTCAAGATTGAACATTTTAAAATATATAGTTTTGATTCTCTTTCATTTTTGATAAATAAAAAAACAAACTGCACAAACAAATAGCTAATTATTTTTAAAATTTGACATATTTGACACTAAGACAGGCGTCTCACGCCATGATACTGGAACGGTACAAATCTAGTGCGTGGCGCCCCCGTGGTGCTCTGGAGTGCGTCAGAGCGCGCCAATGTGCATACTGGAAAGCGGCTCAGATTTGGCATTGCCGGTAGAAGGGGAAAAGTAGGTTTTGGCATTAGCATTGCCGTCTTTGAACGCACTCCGAGTGTTTAAAACTAGGACAACTACTAGGGCAATCCAAACAAAATGGCGATTAATGCCGAAGAATTGGCGCCATAAATTTAATTCAAACAACCTTGACATTTTTCATCAAAAAACTGTTTTTTGTGTATGTTGTGGTGTTTTAAGATGATTTTCTAGTGCTTAGAAGAATAATTTTCGTATTTTAAGATGGAAAGTTTTTAGTTTAAGGAATTATTAGTTGAAAACCCGGATGTTTGCAAAAGTTATGATTTCTGTGTGACAAACCTTTACCTGCTAAACAATTAGGTAGGTACTATCCAGGATTTGTTTCCTGTTTAGTTTTTTCTTAACCAAATCTTGAATTCTGATGTTTATTTTTTTTGTCTGCTATTCAAGGTATCGACACAAGCTGATGTGGAGGATAGTAAATGGCTTGGATCCAAAAACCAAAAAGTCTCTCTACATACATGGTGTATGGATCGGATCCATACACCATGTATGTAGAGAGACTTTTTGGTTTTTTAATATGGAGTTCGTAAGATTTTTTCCCTTTTGCTACAATCCATGAAGCCCTCACAAAGTACAGACAAATCATTTTCCTCCGTTAAAAACCTGTGTTTTGTCTCTGCAGTATTAGTATGCATTTTCCAAAAAATCTAAACTTTACAGACTTTATATAAATCAAAAATCGCAATAAAACCACATTTTTTTAAAATAAAAAGGCATTGGCCTCCATTTTGAAATCCATTTTGACAGGTCGTTGGATTGCCCTATAATCATTAACCCATAACCAATGAACTATAGCCTAAAACTGGAATGCGCGCACATTGCCATATCTGCCCAAAAAATGAAGCCATGAAAGACAGATGCCACAAGGGGGAATGTTGTTTTTTTCTGTTGCTCGCTGACATATGACGTTTTCGAAAGTTTTGTCATATTTTCCTTCACAGGTTTCATCAATTGGAATACGTGTTGGAAGCAATTTTCGCCATTTAACATAATGAGTGCGACAAAAACAGGTATCCCCTCCGCAGCAGCTGCACTAGGCTTCACGTTCTTCCTTATGTGTTAGCATTCCAGCTTTTAGTTATAGTTCATTGCCCATAACCCATTAGTTGTATTCCTTTCACACCTAGGAGGAGCTCCGGAACAGCTCCGGGGCTTCACGCGCTTATTCCTTTCGAAAAGTGCTTGTTGCACCACGCATCTGTTCCCTGCAAATCGGGGGCGACTAAGCACCGAAGCGAGTAGCTCGAGTGTTTCAAGCTCTTGAAAGGAATACAACTATTATTAGACCCTCCCCCCTCTTCACCTCTGGCCATAGGAGTGCTGCGTTGCCAAAGTATTTTTATTTGTTTGGGTTAAGCTACAGTGGGTTAAGCCTAGTACTCATAACCGCGAATTGCGGATTTTTATTATGCGGATTTTTGTCTATTGGTCGAATATAAGTTGTATTCCTTTCAAGAGCTTGAAACACTCGAGCTACTCGCTTCGGTGCTTAGCCGCCCCCGATTTGCAGGGAACATATGCGTGGTGCAACAAACACTTTTCGAAAGGAATAAGCGCGTGAAGCCCCGGAGCTGTTCCGGAGCTCCTCCTAGGTGTGAAAGGAATACAACTATATTTAAACCTGTCAAATTTAAATAGAATCGATCAATGTGGGTAATAGAGTCACTGTACCGGTGAATAAGAGAAAGCGCCATATATTTTTGTCTCTTGTTCCTTGTTAGTTGTATTCTTTTTCAAGAGTTTAAAACACTCGAGCTACACGCTCTGGTGTTAGTCGCCACCGATTTTAAAGGAACAGATGCTTGGTGTAACAAACACTTTCCGAAAGGAATAAGCGCGTAATGCCCCGGAGCAGTTGCGGTGCTCCTCCTAGGTGTGAAAGGAATACAACTATTGTAACTCTATAGTCCTTTTCACGTGGCTCCGATTTAAACTAACCTGGTTACAAAACGGTTAGTAGCGGTTAGTCAAGTGATGATGTCATTGAAAATGCCACTTGAAAAAGAACGGTTGGAAAAATGTTATTTTAAATTAGACAATCCAACGGCCAGTCAATATTTATAATATTATGTTGATGTTCCCTCTAGTAACTGCACCAAAATATCACGTATACCTATCTTGAAAAACAATGTTCCTATTATTTATTTTAACTTTAATTGCTTCCATGTTCGACAATTGATTAGGTAGGTAGAAACTTTAAAATAATTTCAACAAGACACAACTTTATATTTAAGTTTACACCTGTGACAATTTTCCCGCTTTCCGTTGTTCACAAATTTTCTATTTTTTTTGTTCTAACCGTTAAAGGTATAACCATATCGCCGAGATGGTTAGAGTTGTTTCCGGTTTGGCAGTGGCGTATATTTATTTAAATATGATTGTCAGTATTATGACTCACTCTTTTCGCACTAATGCCAGTGCTTATCATCACTTAAAACCGCTAAAATCCATTAAACATCCACTTGAATGAGGACACAGCAAACCACCAAAACAAATGATGAGTCAAACTTGGAGGCTCAATATGGCCGCTTCCGTCCCTTTTTTGTTTGTAGTAACAGATAGACAACGCTCCTTCCTGTAGTTTTATATTCAAAGGATAACAGTGATGTGCCTGTAGACAATGTCAACGTAAACAATTGATTGTCTATGTGTAGACAATTCGAATTGTTTACGTGGGCATTTGTCTACACGTCTACATGTGACGTAAACAATAAACTTATTTTAGAAAATTTTAAAAAAAGTTCCAAAATTACTACTACCTGTGTAGCTTATACCTATCACTTTGATATCAGCATTCACTGATTATAAATATCAGGAAAACCGAAAATAAAATAAAAAAAAAATTTGAAAAGGAAAGTGTGAGGTTAGAATTAAACGTCATTTTACATTGTTGACACGTTTACATGTTTACATTGTTGACACGTTGTCTACGTCTACATAAGTCTACACGTAAAGTAGACAATGAAAGTCTACGTGTAGACGCACATCCCTGGGCCGAGATTCTAAAATCACGATTCGACACACGACTCGACAACGATACCGGCCTTGTCGTGTCGAAAGGTATAATTCCAATGAGATTTCTAACCTAGAATCGTCGGAAAAATCGTCTCGCTATCGAGTCGTATGTCGAATCGTGATTTTAGAATCCCCGACCTGGTCGATAACACTCGAATTTGAGCGGTTTGTTAAACCGAAGCCACGTGAAAAGGGCTTATGTATTTGTCAATTGTGTCTACAGTCTTATGTCCGTTTGCACCAAGGAGAATAAACTTACGTTTCCATAAGTACGAATAATTAAAACTGTGCTTATCGGCCCCTTTTTGGGTAATTGCCGCCATATTGGTTTTCAACTGTTTCCAACCACTGCTGACGTCATAACAAAGTCGCCAGCTG